CACTGTAAGTTCTTGTAGTAGGTTTAGCTACTCTCCCAGGAAAGTAATCTCTGAAGTGTTAATACTGCTTTCACTGACCATGCCAACTCTGCATGACATCTTAAGAGAAACCAGATGTGCTGTGACCCCCTCAAACTTACGAACTTCCTTCTACGCGACACTAACCCAGTGTGTGGTGGTGGTGGTGAGGTGCACTTACTTGTAGATAACAATTCTGCCTTGAACTGAGGTGGGCTGGAGCACTGGGAGGTGTCTGGAACCCCTGCATGGCCACGGTCTCCGTTCATGCTCTGACTTTTGGTGTTTTTTTTTTCTTTCTGCCTTGGTGTGCTGGGATCGGATCCTGCTTACCTTCCTCTCCTTACAGAGATCCTGATATAGACGCCAGATTGGGAATGTAACAGGGCTGGGTCTTCTCTTCCAGTCCCGCTAGACACCATGGTAACTAATCAAGTTGGTGGTTGCTGTTAATACCTGTGTGTATGTGTACACGTTTCCTCTTCCCTTGCTGACTAACCAGCTAGCTTTGGGCTAACATAACTTCATTGTGATTTGTGCTGGAATCTGTTGGCAAAGGGATGATGCATTTCACTGGGTGCTTGGGTTTCATTGTCTCATGTCTAACTGGGCCGGGATTGCTCCTTATCCCAAATGGTGTCCCTCCATCTCTTCCAACAGTGAGCTCGCCAGTGCATGGACTAGAGCACAGGAAATTCAGAGTCCTTTCCTTGCCAGAGTAAAAGAAAACTTCCCATACATATTCCTCTGGCTTGGACTGCTCTGGAGTTTGAAAACTGATGATTGGAATGGTCTAAGTACATTAGCTGCTTAAACCTGAATTATGACTTTTAGATAGTGCAGATCTTAGGAATTTTGTGAATGAAGCAAACAATTAATGGTTAGCTCATTTTAGTCACGGCTGCTCTGTCTCTGAAGCAGAGTTGAAGCCCCTTCCTATGGTGCATGGGTCTGCAGTACTTTTTTTTACTGCTGCATGTATGAGGAGCTAAATCTTCTATGGTTAAACTTATCCAAAGAGTAAAAAATGATTGCCCTGTGAGGAGGTGGTCTGCTTAATGTCACTGTCCTCATTTGTCTGTTCCTGTACTTGCTTTGTACACTGCCTGTCCACAAAGGTTAGGAGAAAAGGGTGCTCAGTGGTCAGAGGGTTGTGGTAGCAAAGGGAACTCCTATGTTTACTGTCAAGGAGGTGAAAAGTTTGATTTCCTGGGTGCTTGGGTAAGAGGAGGTAGAGCTAGCATGTAGAGACAGGCTACTGTGTTGCCCAGAGGCTACTGGAAATAAGTTTAAGGGCATGTGCTCATATGCTTAGCCCTGTGGTATTCATCTTTCTGGCCCTCCAGGTCTTTTCAGTCTTGCTTTAGGCTGGTGGAAAAAAGCAAGCAGAGAATGAAAACTGGTAGCCTCTTTGAAGGGTGTTATCATCACAAGACAGTTTCCTGAGTTCTCGGACAAGATTTGTCCCATTAGACATGCAAGTAGCTGTGTTGAGGCAGGTAGCGTACATATCACTTACGACCCTTAAAGTAATAATTTCAAAGACTGATGTTGTCTGTTGTGAGGTGGGGGGCAGGGCAGAATTATTTTGGCATTCTGCTGTAGCCAAAAGCAAGGGACCTAATGTGGATTTTGGTAGGAAGTGCCTTTGGGATATGGAAGAGCTGGTGGCTCTTGAAAGTGTTTGCTATAACTGCAGCAGTGGTAAAACCTTTGCTTCAGTGACTGAGACTATTTAGCTTACGTATTGTTAACAAATAATTGCTGTTCAGTGTTAAATCTGAAGCCTCAGTGAAGAAAAGGCATATATGGGTTGTGAGGTTTTAGACTGGTTGGGTTGAATGGGAATAGCTAGAGAACTTGGGTTTTGAAGAAGCTGCTGTCCTCTGTTAAGAGTTGCTCCTTCCTATTTCTCAGCAGTGAGACTCTGGGAGAAAGGATAGAGAAATAACTGGGGAGAGATGGAGAATGTGTGTGTTTATTCCAGAATCCATTATGTTCACTTTTACTTTGGCATAATCTGCCACTTTCATCCTGCCATCACTCGTTTTTTGTTTTTGTTCCTTTTTTTTCGTTTGTGCATCTTGAACGTTGTCCTGCAAACTCTGCTCTGCCACCTCGTCAGCTGCAGTACCTCTGAGAACTTGATGTCACCCGTTAAGCAGGCTCCGCAGAAGTCACCCTCCAACACAGAGGGTCTGGTAAACAGCGTGCCCGCGGACCCTCCCACATCGTGGGGGAGACGGTATGGAAAAGATAGAGGCAGGGTGGGACACATCAGTTAGGTGCTGTTTGTTAAGGTGGTGAGGGTTGGTTGGTAAAGATGTCTGCTCCACACAAAAGACGAGCAGTAAGAGGCGATTGGTGAACTCTTCCCTAGAAGGCTTAGAGCCTTTGAAAGAATAGCACCTTAATATTAGCCGAGATGCAGTTGTGTGCCTTTTTTGTACTTCTGTATGACAAAGGTGATTCTGATCCTGTATGTTAACTAACACAAGTGGTGGCGAAGCTCAAGGATGAGAGCCTGGCAGTGATGAGGAGTGGGTAGTTGTTTAATGTAAAGACTACATTATCTGCTAGTTGTGTAACACCCTATACAGCTGCATAATCTGTTTTAGGATTTTAATGTAGGAGGAATTTCGCTTACTCTCTCCATCACTGTGAATGTGCATGCTCTAAGTGGCATTTACGTGAAAGTAAGCCAGTGCGATGCAAGCACTAACCAGTGATGATCAGTTTGAAGATGTCTCTTGCTGCTGAGAGCTCTGCTCGGCTGTCCTGTGCACCTGGCTTTTATGCATTTGTAACTGTGAAGCTTTCTCTTGTTCTTGCTAGTGTCAGCAAAGTTCTGCTGACTTTGAAGGAAGAAATTGGCTCTTATCCAGACTAACATCCTATGGGAAGTAAGTCAGAGGCAATAGAGCACACATCAAAAAGGGATTCTATGCAATGTATGAGTATCTGTCGATGATGTACAGGATTTCCTTGTTTGCAGTGCAGCTGTTTCTTACCTCTTGATTTGTGTATCCTCAGCAATTTTCCTGTGGAGGTTTGAATTCGGAGTGAATTAAAGTCCAAACTGGACTTTTTTTAATTGGTGACCTTTTTGCAACTCTGCAGAGCAGTGTGTTGACTCTCAGTGGTTTCTAAATCAGAGGTGATGTCTGAATTCTTCAGTTCTCCCCCAAAAATAACAAAGATGTGTGTTAATGTGTTAATACTACAGGAAAAAAGGCAATGCTAACAGTGAGCTGGATAAAGCCTAAGTCCCCATTCTGTTGGGCTTACAGTCTGCTTTTGAAATGAATCTTGTTCTTGACAGGTGTGATGCTTCCAGAAAACAAGAGTTTTACTATACAGATCCACAAAGCTATTTAGTGGCTTCAGAAACAGTTATTCTCTGAACGTAAAGGCAATGTACTTAAGTTATAAGAAAAAATGATAGTTCAAATTTTGACTGTTCTTTTTCTGGAGGCCTCCTAGAATGGGTGAATGAGGATTAAGTTGTTTTCTTTTGGCTAATACTGGAGTATTTCAGAATTACGGCAATGCCTCTACGCTAAGTGAAGAGGCAAGCAGGGAAGATGAAGCTATATACCAGGAGCTGGAAGAGACATAATTGGAAGGAGATGAACAAGGAAAGCCTTGCCTAGATTAGGAAAAAAACCTGAAATGGAGGAGAGGGAAACAGGTGCTTTTTTTGAAAAAAAGAACTTATATTAGGAAGTATTTTGCAGTAGCTGTTGGAGTCAGCTTTGCTTGGTCAAAAAGCCAAGATGTTTGATCTAATTATTGTCAGGATAGAAAATTGTACATGCTAATGCCCTAAGATCTACCTGCAGGAAGAGTTTTTCTGTCCTGCGCTTACATCTTCAAAGCAAGAATATTTATATCTTCCTATTCACTGTAACCTGTGTGAAAACTTGTTCTCTTCACCCCTCCCCGTCCGCAGTGTTGTGGCTCACTCAATATAGTGTACAAGACAAGGAGCATTTCAGAGTAAATCTAAACTGTGACAAGATAACTCAAAATCAGTGGGTTTTGCCCTTTGATGGTCATTCCAGTCTGCTTATTCCTTGACAGAGTCCTTCAGGCTCTTCCATGGGTAGGTTCCTAAAGGAAAACTTGAAAGTGTGAATGCTCCTGACCCCAAAGGAAAAATACGGGAAATGGCTTTATTCCTGTGTAAGGGAACAGTTGAGTGCTGAGGTAGAGATGAATCTCCTTTGTCAGGCAAAGGGAGCTTTGTCTGGATTTTCTTTTCTTGGCAGATGTTTGTAGCAGCAAGTGGTTCCTCCACCTTGTGTTAAGTGTTTGCCCCATCTTTACAGAACAGCAAGCAAACATACTTATTTTTCTATAAAAAGGTTCACAATGAAATGAGAGTTGATAAGATTTTAAACAGATGATTTAAATCAGTGAGAAAACGCACTTTAAATTGATTATAGTTGTATTTTAAACTTCTAGCCATTGCTTTTCCAAAAAAAGCCTCAGCTCTCCAGTTGATGTCAGCATGCAAATTAACATATTGAAGCAAATTACATCTATATAAAACCTGATCTTTCTTGCTAATCAAGAAATTAGTTGTGGCTTTTAAACTGTTGCATAGGTGAAATGTTCACGTTCAGATTCCTAGCAATTCCTAGAAACTGTTGCAGGCTGCTTGCTAATTCAGGCACACTATCCTCTCTTCACAGAATCACAGACTCGTTTAGGTTGGAAGGGACCTCTGGAGATCATCTAGTCCAACCTCCCTGCTCAAGCAGGGTCACCTAGAGCATATTGCCCAGGATCACCTCCAGACGGGTTTTGAATATCTCCAGGGAAGGAGACTCCACTACCTCTCTGGGCAACCTGTTCCAATGCTCTGTCACCCTCACAGTGAAGAAATTTTTTCTCAGGTTCAGATGGAACTTCCTGTGGTTCAGTTTGTGCCCATTGCCTCTTGTCCTGTTGCTGGGCACCACGGAGAAGAGACTGGCCTCATCCTCTTGACACTCCCCCTTCAGATACTTGTACACGTTGATGAGATCGCCTCTCAATCTTCTCCAGGCTGAACAGGCCCAGCTCTTGCAGTCTTTCTTCCTAGGAGAGGTGCTCCAGCCCTCTAATCATCTTGGTAGCCCTCCGCTGGACTCTCTCCAGGAGTGCCATGTCTCTCTTGTACTGGGGAGCCCAGAACTGGACACAGTACTCCAGGTGAGGCCTCACCAGGGCTGAATAGAGGGGCAGGATCACCTCCCTCGACCTGCTGGCAACACTCTGCCTAATGCACCCCAGCATACCATGGGCCTTCTTGGCCACAAGGGCACACTGCTGCCTCATGTTTAACTTGT